CCAACATTGGCATCTCTTATGTTCTTATGTTCAAGCACTTTATTGTTAATTGTTATTCTGTTATGTGATATGAATTAGTATGTATTTTATGGAGTTTTAAATTTTTATGGTTATGCCAGTTGGGTACATTGTACCGCTCGTTAGCTGCATTGAGCCTGTTTGCAGGATGGGCGGGGTATAAATATAATAAAGAAATAAATTCTAAATCTACTGATTGATCATGAAACACGGGGCTGTGCTGACAACCCCGTTAACTGGCGTGATTGCGTGCATGCAAGTCCGTCCACTCCCGTGAGACAGATTCACCATTGTGGTGAAGCTTGTTGTTTTCTCTGCATGCGTATTTATGAATAAATAAATGCTAAATGAATAAGCCCCACTGAATTATATAGGGCTTGCTCCCGGGTAAACTTTCATCTTGCGAGGCTCAGTGTAGGGGTAGGGTTTGCACAGATTGTTCTGGGGCATAACGTAGCTTAATTTCTAAAAGTTGCCAGGGCTTACGGTGGTTAGAAAAGAGCTTTTAGTGCACAGTTCCAGGCACTCTCTCCGCATCGTCCATCAAGGCATTCAGAACAAGGCATCAATCTGGAGAAGAGCACTGGGAAATCCTGCCTCAAATAGGAACACCATTTTCTGTACTGTATGGCCAATCAATGTGTGTGACCACAATAAAACAGTGAAATATGTGCATTACTGTTTCTGTGTGACTGTTGAAAGCTGTGAGGAATAATTGGCTCTTCTGCATAGGTAGTAGAGTTAACCCTGTACAAAATGGTTCAGATAAATGATTAGAGACTGTGGCCTATACTGCCACGTATAGTTTATTGTAAGCAGGTTCCTATTATATAATTTTTGTACCACTAATGTGTCATGTCAGTGTTTATACTATACTTCAGTTCTTTCTGAAAATCCTAAAGCACTGGTTATTGAATGTCCCATTTTGTTGATTGTACTGTCTCACTATTTGTAATCCTCCTTGAGTCCCTGTGAGAAAGGTGGATTATAAACAACCTAAATAAATAAGTTAATCTTGTATGGCTTAGTGTATATAAGAATGCCCTTGTTCCTATAACTTTGGCCATGTGTGTAGCTTGCACAAGGCGTACACAAAGTGTGTGCCTTTTTAATCTCAAGTAAGTATTTTGTTGCCTCGGTCCTGACAAAGAGTTTTAGTTGCAGGGTAAAGAAATGGCTCTACCAACACATTACTCGTAGTCGTCCACAAAGCACCAGGAGAAAAAGAAACAAGCACAATACAGCTTTTGAACTTTATCACTACCGCAATTTACTGTGTAGGTCTTTAGATAAGATTGACATAGTTTTCCCGCTTCAAGAGCAAACAGTGTCACTTTTTCTGTTATACAATCGGTCTGTTTAACTTACACTCTAGTTTAACATTTCGTCATGGGCAGGTGGTCTGGGAGGACCGTAGATCCCTCAGCCTGCTCAGTCTATATTCTTATGGTCCCCATGTCTTGTTTTAGAGCATAGGTGAGAAGAGTGCTGAAATTCTGTGGAGTGAAGCTTTTCTCTTGCAGTCGTATGTTCTTATGGTTCCCTAGTTTTGTATCAGAGCACCTTCCTGGGAGAAATCGATAAAAAGTCTGTTGAGATTCTATGGAGAGAAGCTTTTATCTTGCAGTTGTGTAGTACTAGTCGAACTTGGGGTTACCTGGTGATATTGATTAATAGCAAGTTCAGAATGGAGGGGACCTCCAAGTGGCACACCTGCCTCGCGTAGGAACACTTCTTCCTGCAATACATAATGCCTTAGGGTGCGATCCTGAAGACAGCTGTTAGTTCAGATGACTGTAAAAAATGATTAGATGGTCCATTAAACTGTTTGCTGAATGGAACCTCCATGTACAATGGCAGTATACCCCAGCGCAGAAAATCTGTTGTTTTTATTACACTTTAAAGCCAAACATTTGACTCCCCAAGTGGTTCGTGGGAACCTCACCATTTGGGGCTAGATGTTTTTTGGGGGAAAGTTCAGTACAAAGAGGTTCCTTGAGGAAGCAGTTGTCAGCCGAGCCAGTTTCCGATGTGGCGGGAAGGTGCCTGGCGGCTTTCTCTGAGGGCCTAATTGATGGGATTTGGACGCTGAAGGGAAGGGGGCCTCTGAGCCTGAGCATAATGGAGAGACCAACAGAGGAAAGCCGTCAGCATCATTTTGAGCTTGGGAATCCTTAGCGGCATCACTCGGGTTGCCATTGGAAACCAAATGCTGGATGAGACAGGCTTGGGTCTCACCCAGCGAGCCAGTTCTTATGTTCTCCTGACTACGTGTTCGGAAATATAATGACAAGTGAACAGTCTGGCTTGATTGTCGCTGGACTGCAGTCTTTGAGGCACATTTCAAAGCCTTGTCAGTCATGCCTGAGGCACTGCAGGAATCCAGACTCCACCACTGCTGCTGCTTTACCTCAGAACTCCCCCCTAGAGTTTCAGGGCCCTGTCCCTGGATGGCCCAGGGAAGCCCGGTCTTGTCAGATCTTGGAAGCTAAGCAGGGTCAGCCCTGGTTAGTATTTGGATGGGAGACCACCAAGGAAGTCCAGGGGCAGAGGCAGGCAATGGCAGACCGCCTCTGTTGGTCTCTTGCCTTGAAAATCCTATGGGGTTGCCCTTAGTCGACTGTGACTTGGTGGCACTTGACACACGCAGAGTTGCAGGGCATTCTGGGGCATATTCTCAGGGACACCACTGTGTAGGAGACAGTGCAAGGCCCGATCCACATGCTTTCCTCAACACACGCTATCTGTTTATCTGGGCAGTTTTTCAGCTTGGCGTGTGTTTATGCCGGAGCTGTTATCTTTCTGGGCCAAGCTGCCTGCTTCATCAGCCAAGTTCTAAGAAACTGCTAAGGACAGCGCTCAACTGTCAATGGGCAGGGTTTGTGGGGAGGGAAAGAAAAGAGACCACCCGATGAAAGAGACAGGCAAATTATTATGCGGGGCTGTATGAATCCTCAACTGTTCAATAGCTAGCCTGCCTCCTTTAACACTGAAGAGGAGATCCTGTGATGAAAAGATCCATGACAGACACTACAACCCTTGTCTCAACAGAGTTTTTTCAGGCAGCAAGTCACTGGTGGTTGTTGTTGTTTTAAAGTGGGGAAGGTAATATCTTCAGATATTAGAAAACAGAGATTATACAAGTAGGGGACTCACAAGGACATGTGGAGCAGCGTCTCATTTCCCCCTCCCCTGCTACTGTGTATTGATTCTTTTCACACAGCAAGTGATTAAAATGTGGAATTCGCTGCCAGAGAATGTAGCGCTAGCCGCAGGGATTAGACGGCTTGAAAAGGGGGTTAGACGGACTCATGGAGGAGAGTTCCATTAGTGGCTACTGGCCATGGTGGCTGAAGGGAACCTCCACATTCAGAGGCAGTCAAATTTTGAATACCAGTGCTGCAAGACAACATCAGGGGAAGGCCTCGGCATCTATGCCCTGTTATTGGTCCTCCAGAGGAACTGGTTGGCCCCTGTGTGAGACAGGATGCTGGACTAGATGGACCACTGGTCTGATCCAGCAGGGCTCTTCTTAGGTTCTTGTGCTCTTATAGATAAACACACAATGCCTGTGTATTGATTCTCTTCCCATTCCCAATAATCACCTCAACGAGTCGTAAATTGAGAAAAAAGTAATCTTACGTTTAATCTCACAAGGGACTGAGTTATCTTGATAGAATAGCTACAACTCAGATGCACTGAGGTTTATTTTATTTTATTTTTAAGTATCCTGCAGTGTCTCAGTCAACGCTTCCAAAGTTAACTCTTCAGCGAAGTGATTACTAACACACTATCCCTGTCGAGATCATGGGCATGTGCACGTGGCGTAGAAATGTTATGGGATATACACAAGCAGCAGAAGAAGTTGGTCAAGAGGACTGCATCGCATCATTCTGCAGGGTGGAGGAGTGCCATGTTTTTTAATGCTCCCACCTGTTTTGTTTTTTCAAAGACCTGGATGAACATTCTTTTTTTTTAAAAAAAAGCCTGGAAGGAAAAACAATTTCCTAGAACAGGAGAGAGTGGATTGGATTTAGGGTTGCCAACTCTGGGTGGGGCAGTTCCTGGAGATTTGGGGGTAGAGGCTGGAGAAAGTGGGGTTCGGGAAGGGGAGGATCCTCATCAGGATATAATGCTCTCCAAAGCAGCCATTTTCTCCAGGTGGACTGATCTGTATCATGTGGAGATCAGTTATAATTCCGGGAGATCTCCAGAACCCACCTGGCAACCCTAGTTGGACAAAGCAAAACAAAGAGGGCCTTTCTTTTGCTTCTTTGCCGATAGTATTTTTTATCAGCGAACCTTCCAGAATGGCGTCTCCCCCCTGCAATGATGTAGTACAATGTGTTCTGCTCCCTGATTCCTTCTCATATGTAGCTTCACAGATATCTAGGGTAATAATAATTAATAATTATCGTATGACATTGGGAGTAGAATAGCCAGGAGATCCTAAGATTGCCTTGCAGCCAGTGTTATGCCTTACTAGGTGGCGAACTAGACTGTTTTTTTAAGGCAGGAGACTTTCAGAGGTGGTTTGCCATTGCCTGTCTCTGTGTTACGGCCCTGGTATCCCTTGGAGGTCGCCCTTCCAAATTCTAGCCGAGTCTGACCCTGCTTAGCTTCCAAGTTCTGACAGGATCGGGCTAGCCTGGGCTATCCAGGTCAGATCTAGGATGAAAGGGCTGTGTGTATGCGTGCGCTTGCCCAAGATTGTTTCAGGAATAGTTACCATATGCCTCTTGTATCCCAGCAATCTGTTCTTTCCCCAACGAGGTTAATGCAGGAATATACCACTGGTCACACTGTTCTTTCTGCGCTTGGGTGCATGGCGTGCCTGATGGGCATAGATAAGGTAGACCCGTGCCAGAAGAACTTGGAACGGAGCCTCTTTGACAGACGTCTGTGCTACAGCACTGCTGAACTGTAAGTGGCTGCCGGTTCCAATTCCCACTTTGTTCCCTGTGCAGATAAATGTATCCAATATGGGCCATACCCTGGGCAGCTTCTGGAGCCTCTTGTGGACCTTGATGTTGTTGCGTTTCCCGCTGCAAGGAGTCTATGGATTCTTCCCCAACTTCTGGTCCCGCCCCATGACTTTTGCCTGGGGCTCCGTCACACACCAAGACATGACCGAGGATGCCATCCTCAGCGTCACCTTGCGGCTTTTCACGGAGGTGCCTCATCCCAAGGGGAAGCGCATCCGAGAGGAGGACTTCCAGGTGAGAGGAAACGGGCCTGGGCTTCTTAAATGGTAACCAAGAACGGGATCCTGGAAAGCTGGAAATGTTAATAGAGAGTCTGTTTGCAGAAGAGGAGAGACCCTCTTGTATCCAGGGCTATTTTTGGGCAGGAACGCACAGGAACGGAGTTCTGGCTGGCTCCCGAGTTGGCCACGCCCACCAGGAACTAATTAGCATAATAGGCCACACCCAACAGCAGAAACTCATTAGGATTGGCTACATTAGGGGTGTGTGGCCTAACATGATGACCGAGCATGCCATCCTCAGCGTCACCTTGCGGCTTTTCACGGAGGTGCCTCATCCCAAGGGGAAGCGCATCCGAGAGGAGGACTTCCAGGTGAGAGGAAACGGGCCTGGGCTTCTTAAATGGTAACCAAGAACGGGATCCTGGAAAGCTGGAAATGTTAATAGAGGGTCTGTTAGCAAAACAGGAGAGACCCTCTTGTATCCTTAACTGATGCTTAAGAAAGAGGAGATTTGGCAGTTGCTGCTTAGTACTTGGCACTTTTGTAGCACTTTAGGGTGTTCAAAGCTTAAGGGGAACAAGGTGGTGGGGAGGAGAAGAGGCAGAATGTGGGGTTTGCCCGCTCTGGGTTGGGAAATTTGGGGGGTGGAGCCTGGGGAGGGCAGGGTTTGGGGATGGGAAGGTCCTTGGCAGGGTATAACGATGTAGAGTCCACCAGGGCTATTTTTGGGCAGGAACGCACAGGAACGGAGTTCCGGCTGGCTCCTGAGTTGGCCACGCCCAACAGGAACTCATTAGCAATGGCGAACCTTTTAGAGACCGCGTGCCCAAACTGTGACCCAAAACCCACTTATTTATCGCAAAGTGCCAACATGGCAATTTAACCTGAATACCGAGGTTGTACTTTAGAAAAAAAACAACTCGTACATTAACATAAGATGATCCAAACAAAGTAAGGAAAGCAATCCCAAAGGCTTTCATTTACTTAAAATTATTTGGCAGAGAATTAGACACTTTAATGATGGTCTGGGCCTGGCTGGGGCGATGTCGCCCATGCCCACAGAGAGGGCTCTGAGTGCCATAGGTTCGCCACCACTGCAGGACTTCTTCAACACAATTAGTAAAGATTCAGGAGCCTCCTTATGGTTGGTGCCAGAGATTGGTGAGGATAGGCAGCTGCTAGGGTTGTTGAGGGGCCATCCAAGTGTCAGCCATCTTGGCTGTCCCTTGGGGGTGCAGTGTGGTCAGATCTGAGGCGTGGGCATAGTTGTTGAAGTGGTTCCGGATTTCTGTTCTGGCGCATTCCCCCAGGCAAAAGTATATCCCTCCCTACCTTCTTCACCCTTGGGCCAAGTCGTTCTCGCCTCCTCCCCCTGTCAGTTCCAAAATGCTGTCTTCCGTATCAAGTAACTGAGTCGCAAGTTCTAAACAAGGTTTATTTTATAAATTTGAACATGTACAAGAACTGCTTCTGTCGCTCAGTGAATCAGAATACGCCCAGGACAGGTCTTCTCTCTCTGTGTCGTGTCCGTTTGGACTAACAATTCCATCCTGAGCAGCGTTATACCTTCTCAGTTCATTGCCTTCAGTGGACTTAAAAAAGGTAAAGGTTCCCTTGCTCGAAAGCCAGTCAAATCCAACTCTAAGGTTGCAGTGCTCATCTCCGTTTCAAAGCCGAAGAGCCAGCGCTGTCCGAAGACGTTTCTGTGGTCATGTGGCCGGCATGACTAAACACCGAGGCGCACGGAACGCTGTTACCTTCCCACCGAAGTGGTACCTATTTATCTACTTGCAATTTCTTGCTTTCGAACTGCTAGGTTGGAGAGGAAGGCGGGGTATAAATCAAGTAAAATAAATAAATAAAAATACCAGTTGGGCATATTGGCATCTGTGCTGGAAATCCTCTTTAACTGAGAGTTCCACTTCCCAGACATTTCCAAGTGGCTCTCCAGAACCATGAGGGCTAGAACCTTGTTTGTTTGTTTTTAAAGAACAAGTCAAATGGAAACCAGCGCTCCCTCTAAGCTGCGGAGTCTTGAGCAAAAATCCTACTTTGTGAGCTACTGGCATTCAAGTGGTGAGCGAGCGGTTTGGCTGCTGCGCAGATCAGTTTGCTCTGGAGCCCCGTCCTTCCTGAGCGGAGACCAAAAAAATAATAATGTGTGAGCCGGAGGCTAAAAAAACTGTGAGCTGGCTCACATTCACTCAGCTTAGAGGGAGCAATGAGACCAGATTAGCCTGGGCCATCCAGGTCCAGGCCTGTTGTTTGTGGTTGCTACTCTACCTAAGAGAGCCAGTTTGGTGTAGTGGTTCAGTGCGCTGACTCTAATCTGGGAGAACCGGGTTTGATTCCCCACTCCTCCGCTTGCACCTGGCTGGATGACCTTGGGCAAGCCGTAGTTCTGATAAGAGCTGTTCTTGAACAACGAGCAGTTTCTGTCAGAGCTCTCTCAGCCCCACCTACCTCACAGGGTCTCTGTTGTGGGGAGGGGAAGGGAAAGGAGTTTGTAAGCCGCTCTGGGACACCTTTGGCTAGTGAAGGGCG